AGGGGTGCTGGCAGAGGCCTTACTGACTGGAGTATTGCATGCTGCTGTACTTTGTCACTCTCCTCCGGGAGGTGCTGGGGGATGCCGTGCCCATTGCTTGGCCAAGGTGACAGTCAGCACTGAGCATCTGACCCGTGCTACTCATCCCCCCCAGATTTGCTCCCCCCATGCTGCTCATCCCAGACCCTGATACTACCCTCTCGGTGACCATCATGTTGTGGGCATTTGTTAATTCCGAGGGAATGTTTATTAAGCTGCCTGGCATGCCAGAGGCAGGCCTGAACGCTCTTTCTGTCACTACCACATTTGACCCGTCTACCAAATCAGGAATGCTCAGAGAGGTCGGGAGCCGCGAGTTAGGCGCGATTAATCTTTCCGTGACGATAACGTTGGACCCATCTGTGAGATCGGGGATATCTAGCATGCCACGCAAATCAGAGGCAGATGCAGGACCGACAACCCTTTCTGTTACAACAACGTTGGATGCACGCAGAGGGTCAACGCAAATTGAGGGGGAGCCGGAGGTGTAGGTCTCAGTCACCGTCATGTTGCCATGGAGCAAAGGATCCGGCATTGGCCTTGAGTGTTGTATGGTTGACCCAGACGTGTAGGTGTTTTCAGTAACAACCGTTGTAGTGCCAACTGGGGGAGGCATAGGTGCACATCCGTTGACAATGATGGTGGTTCCAGGTGGTGGGAGGTTTAGATCACTTTCAGGGTTGGGAAAGGTGACGTTAACGCATGGCCAGGGTGGATTGACTTCAGGGAAAGGTTCGATCTCTTTGCCGAGACAGATCTCTGCCAAGGTCTTAAATTTTGGTCCTAATGTATCCAAGTATGTTTCATCTGTATCTTCTCCAATAAAGCTGCAGCAACCCACAGAGCCAACGGGAGTGCCAACTCCTTCATGATCATATATTAATAGGCAGTCATTTGCTGGCCGACCTTCATCTTCATCTGCATACACAAATGCTTTCTGTAGTTTGCAAACAAATAAAGAAATAAAAAAGAAGAGAGTGACTTTTTATCAGGTTTTTAACCATGAAGATTCAAACAACAGTAAGGTTTCCTTAACCATAGTAAAGCCCAGCTGACTTGAAAAATGGGGCATCAACGGAACAAATTATATAACCTTGAAATAAGATCTATTCAAATGTTACTGGTGCTTTGTTTTTGTCTCTGCAAACACTTGGCATCTCAAATTTGGTCTGTTTTCAGTGGGCCTGACTGTGGGGTGAACAGAAAGAGTGGAAGGGTCAGGAGCAGCAATATTTGAATGAAGTGGTAGGAAAAGGAGCAAAGAAGGATGGCAAAGGGAGCAGTGGAGAGGCCAGAACAGAGGGATGGAAGGTTTGCCACAGTGGAGAAAGCTTTGTGAGCCTAGAGAGGAAATCCATTTTGAGCAGGATGGAGATCACTGATCTGGGATGGCACTGGGGATAGTGGGGTGGTCAATGCAGAGGGATCGGGCAGGAAAGAGGAGAATTTAAAATGAGTGTGAGGTCAAGTTGGAGGAAGCAGGGAAGGACAGAAGGGGTGGCCCGTGAGGGAGAGACACTGTTTGGAGATTGAAATAGTCAG